CTTGGAGAACTTCATTTTGCATTTCAATGTGGGTATTTTACTCACGTAGAGCCAAAGCGTGTCCATGGAGTTGGGCCGCCTGTTCCTCCAATCGACGGGTGAGGTGATCTGCTGGGCCTTGTGTTTGGCCGCAGTGTTCTGTCATGATGGGTTCACTAGTGTGACCCAATTATGCAGAACACCACTGAGACGGAAACTGGAGTAAAAGGTTTAACAGAGTTTATTGACACAAGCACAGAGATTATGACTGGTTCTGGTTCAGGCCTGGGAAACTGGTTCACCGGAGTCTGCGTGAGAAACAGTTCAGTTAACGTTGCGGATAGGAGTTTGATTCTTGACAGTTTCTGATTTGTACCTTGAGGGTTCTTGATTAAAGCCTTGAGAGGGAGGCTGTTGGATCTGGAGAGGATTTGATCAGCAGAGTCCGTAAGCTGCTTCAGCGTCTTACTTCTTAAGAATGAGTAGACTTTGGCTTTGAGTTTCTGCCATCAAAAATGGAATTTATTTCAATTACTCAGCTGAGAAACAAAAATTCACGCATAATTAAAAATCTTATATTTGCTGTCTCTCATGAGAGATCAAATGATACACCATAACAGGGTAGCTGAAAGTAATTTTGAACCGAGGGTACTGTGAAAATTTTTGTGGTTTTGTTCGGACAAAAGACCTATGAGCCTATAGGCCTTTTTAAATATAATAAATAAAAATAAATAAATAGATTGAGATTCACTACTTTATTGTCATATACACTTTAGTGCACACAGCTAGGGTCAGTAACACCCAGACATCATTAATCACATGAATCATGAATCAGTTCTAAGTTGAATATATGCGCTATTAATCAAACTTCACAATAAACTAATTTTGAATGATTTTATGCCAATTTGACAAGCCGGCATTCACAAACGGGTTGTCTTTCTTAAATTTGTCTCTAGATTTGACTTATTTTCTCACTGCTTTCAGACAAATGAAACATAAAATATGATCAGTCCTTCCACATAATGCAACTACTGCCCTCTAGCACCCCAAGCCGGTGCCACAGAACGTGAGAACGTTTCATTAACACAACACCTTGGAGGAAATCTGTAACTGGAGCTTGGCTACAAAAGGCTTGTCTAATCCAATCTTGCTAGGTTGGGTTGTCGTTGCTGGGACTGTGACTGCCACTGCAACTATATTACTTAGACTATGTAAATTTACTAGTCGGCTGCCCCGAGCAGGATACCTTAGCGACATCTGGTTTGCTTGACGAAGCAATGACAATGTAACTTGGCCGGATCAACAAAACTTGTGTTGATCAGGCCTCAAAATGATTAAATTACAATCCAAAGAAACGTAATAGTAAAATAAAATAAGTAAAAATAATTTCCCAAAATATTCAGAAGAAATGTTTAAATTGTGCAAAGTATTTTTAATACATTTTTTAAAGGTTTCCATCTCACCGCTAGGGAGTGCTATACCCCCAGAACCCACACTTCCTGCGGCCATGCACCATAATGACTGTGGTGCAGTTTGTTTCTGGCGTGAGCACAAACTCACAGAATGTTGCCTCCTTAAGATTACATTCACATTTTCTGCTGTTCCAAAATTAGAAATCGATGTAGAATACATTCCAGGCAGAAGAACCACCTCTCCAAACCAAAGGTAACTTGTCGAGTCTGTCCGGCTTGTTGGACGGCAGCAAGCAGGTATCTTGAGACCAATCATGTTGCTGGCTGGACAGTTACAGCTGGAAACACTTGGGCCTGTGAGGACTTTGGAGTGGCCATGGAGAAAGTCTATTGGTTGTCCTCAAAGCGATTCTAGCAAACCGGCACCTCCAGAGGGGGAAGCAGGGCTTTGCTAATAACTGTTTTCAGTGGGAGTAAGGAGCCTCTTACCCTGAAAGAGGAGGAGATGGATGGTGGAAGGAATACTTTGAGAATCTCCTCAATCCGGCTGATGTGCATTCTATGGTGGAAGAAGAAACAAAGCGCTCAGGGCAGGATTTGTTTATCATCCAGGCTGAAGTCACCAAGGTAGGTTGGGCTGTCATGGTTTACATGCCTCTTCAACATCACATGCAGGTTGGGGACAGTGCCCCTGCATTGGTAGACTGGAGTTGTGGTTTCCCTTTATTAGAAGGGTGAACAAATTGTGTGTTTTAACTATAGGAGAATGACACTACTCAGCCTCCCAAGGAAGGCCTATGTCAGGGTGCTGGAGGGGAGACTGATTGTTGAACCTTGGCTTCATAAGGAGCAGAGTGGTTTCAGCGGATCTCATCCCTATTTTGGGGCTTAAGCTCTGCTGAGACTCCCAACAAACTTTAAAAAACATTTAATAAATATTTAAACAATATTTAAATATATAAACAATATTCACTCCTTACTGTATATTAACATGAGGTTTAAGTAAGAAAGCTAATTTTGAAATAAACATTAATTGTGTCTTTTTCTGGAGCAGTCAAAGAAAAGAATAAAAGGCTTTTTCATTGAAAAGTTATTCACACTGGATTGAGTAGCCAAACCTCTTAGTAAATTTAGCCTAGTAATGTTTTATAAAGGTATTACTCAAGTAAAAGTAGAAAGAATGGATCAGTAAAACTAAAATTGTCAAAAATTTACAGCGACTTCAACTTAGTAAACGGAACACTCAATAATTTAGCAAACACAAATATGAGAAACTAAAATGCTGCACTCATGACTTTGATGACAGTTTTTTCTTCATTTACATACACGTGTTTGTTACAACTTAAAGTTTCTTTGCAAATGTGAAATGCAAAGCAAACTGTGCCATTCAAAAACAGTGGTTCTTTCACCCTGAATAAACAAACAGACCAAACGACTTTCATGGTTTGAATACACAATTAGTCCAGTGTTACATAGCTTATCAGAGGGTCAGGTCAAGTGTATTTCCTGGTGCATCAAGCAATGATAATGTCATTTAAACTAGCTTTTGGTACCTGTAAGCAGATTTCCAAATTGTTTTTTGTTTTTTCATACAGCTGTCCTGACAATTCCCATCAGGGATATCGCCTGCCAGAGTATAGCTACAAGACTACAAATATTCATAGTACTTGTGAAACTATTTTCAGCTCTAAGGCTTTCCTACATTATTGGATGGTGTCAGTGATTGGTTGTTAGATAGCTGTGAGGTCAGCAATGTTTAACCTGATTCTGTAGCTTATAATATAATCCATCTATCCACCAATTTATTTTTTGTCTGTCAGGGTTCTGGTGTCTATCTCCAGCAGGGTATAGGTAGATTGTGGGATACAAACTGGGGAGATCATAACTCTATCACAGTGTATCACAGAAACATACAACTCTGCACACAGACTCACTCCTAAGTGCAATTATGAGTCATAAATAATGGTCTTGTTTTTTAACAGAAGCCCAAGTACTCAGAGAGAATCGATGTATGCATGAGGAGAATATGCAAACTTCATGCAAAAAGAACCAAGGCTGTCTCATAATTCAACCTTTCAGCAAGGCAACGGTGCTACAGTGCAAGCTGTGCCAGTGTGCATCTTATCATTTAATCTCATATTCTAAATTCATTAAGTAGGGTCTGTATCTGCAATTAGAGCTCAAGAGCTGAGTTTTTGGAAATTCGGAGGGAAACATTCTGTTTTTTTCCATGTCAGTTGAAGCATTAATAAATCTTAGATAAAGACATCTTTATATTAAGTAAATACTGCTCTATCAACAGGCTGCTACTTTGCACTAGTAAGGATGTTGTTCTAAGTACTACCAGAAGAGGGTATAGTCTACCTTTTTTCTTCCTCAGAAATATTTTTGGGTAAAGCACCAAACTCAGCCTTCTTTATATGACTTTTAAAGGTAAACACCAGAAATAATTCTTCTGGTTATCAAAGTTAAACAAGCTTAGAAACAAGGTAACCTGTACCTGACGCATTCATTCAATATTTTCACTTATCTTTGTTAAATAATGCATTCTTAAAAGAAAGTTAGATTCTTGTTGGATAAAGATAGAACATCTACCGGTAGGTGTTCAACAAAGATAGATAAAATAGTAAACACAAAACTGAAAACTACCTAAAAACATGTTGAAAGGGGAAAGTTTGTTAATTAGGCTTACACAGAATCAGTGGGCAGAGAGTTGATTTGCTGTGAAATTACAACTTCTCCAGTATTTTTGTAACTTTCATATGCCAATATAGAAAGATTGATTTTGGCATCCTGGTTGTGGCTTTCATGTCCTAGTTTAAAACTTAGAAGGGGGATAAGAAGAGCTAAAGTTGGCCGAGACCAAGAGGGAGTCAGGAAACATTCACTTAAGCATCCTTTCCATCCTGCCTCCTCCGCTTCCAAGGACCAAGCCTGTCTTTCCACTTTTTTTTTTAGGGATGCTTAGTGCACATGAGGCTCTACTGTTTTTGCTCTAAACACAAAAACTAAAGCTTTGTGTGTTTATAAAAAGAATACTAGGGTTAGGGATGGTGACTATTGTTGAGATCTCAACTGGAAATTTAATCCCTAATCAATTTTTACTTAAAGCCTCTCTTTATCTTGGGGCTGTCCTGGACCTAATGAAATCTGTGTTTCCTTCAAAAAGCATGTAAACACACCAATACAGTGATTATTATAAATACAGGAAGAAAAATTATTAGTTTTCACCGTCTAACTGGTGTCTTACTGGGAAGTCCTGTATGGTAGGAAAGCAGGGTTTTTGTGGATCAAAGTTAATGAGTTGGTAATGCAAAAAAAAAAAAAAAAAAAACTCTTTTATACCAAACCCTCCATTGCTATAGAGTTCTTTGTTTGCCACTCATCAAACGATTGGCAAATGGAACACAACTTTTTATTGCAGGTATCAACCCCTTTGTCTTATCATGAAAAGATGTTAAAGTCACCTTGATGGATTAAATATCAAACCACAATAAAGAAGAGCTTACTTTACAAAATAAAAACCTCAAAACAATCATAACTGTTTGGACTTCTTTACAATTTTTTTCAGTCTTTCAAGCAACAACTATTCATTTATACCGAAATTAGTTGATTTCATATATTTTAATGTACAGGATTAGGTATTTTATATACAACTAATAGTTTACATAGTATTGTACAAATCATCCCAAGACAACTGTGCCATACAAATATTATGTTTCCTGGTTTGACTGGGTTACCCTGAGTATATCTCCCAAAATGTGGAATTTCCTATCAGTTCATAAATAATTATAGTATTCTACATATTTACAATCAACATCCAAAGTGGTTAGTAATCACTGTGGTCTCCATGTGGCTTGCAGATTTATTCCAGTCCGTTGGTTCATCACATCTGTAGTAATTATTAAAGTTCTCCATGATACCCACTCACAGAGACCAGTGGGCAGAATATACGGTGAATGGGAGCCTGTAAGTAACACCTGGTACATCCCCTGTTCCATCAGTATGTGCTGCTTGTTGGACGGCTTTGAACCAAGAGGCTTCCCTCTCTTACCGGAAGCTTTTGATCTCTGCTCACTTCTTTTTTTTTTACTACTTTACCAATTCTCAGTTTCACAGCCCTCGCTTTCTCACAAAGTCCCTAGATGTGCATTTCAATGTGCAATTGTGTTGCATCGAATGGAATTCTTTGCTAACGCATCAGCAGTCTAGTTGTATATAGAGTTGACACGTTGAACGTAACTAGCATAAGGCTCCACTTCCTCCACCTCCTCTGCCTGGTTGAAATGGAAGCAAAATATATTTGGAAAAAAAATAAGCAAAGTGCAAAGAGAGGTTAATATATCAAATAAAATTAAATATATGCTAAAACAAACAAACAAACAAAAAAACAGATAGAAAGTACCTACCGAGGGTGATTTCGATGGTGTGTCTGTATTTTGACATTGTCTGAAAAAAAACATTAACAAGCTAATTGCAGCAAAAAAAACTAAAAAGTTAAGTAGATTTCCATGGATATTAAGTAAAAACCCCTTACCTTAAAGATACAACTTTCTTCATTACCAAAGCAGAAAAAGCTGCCAAAATCACAAAAATGACCCCGATAACGGGGATGAGGATCCAACTCCAAAGATATGCTGTGAGATATCAAATGCAAATTAATAATGTATAAAATTTTTGTTACATTTATGTCCCCCAACACCACATTTCACATTTATAATGTATTTTTATTTTAAATGTTTGATATAAAATCTAACCTCAATTTTTTATGCATTCAATGCGGTTCCACAATTTATTCTACTCTCCAGGCAGGACAGGCCACTACCATTTTAATGGGCCTATCATGAGCATCGTAAATGAATGGACACCATATCTACCACATATATAAGGGTCTTATAAAATGTTGCATTAGTGACAAAATGATGACCTTACTTAATCTCATAACTATTCTCTCTATAGTGCTGAAGATAATCAGGGGCACTAGCAGATGGACAGTCGGAACTATCTACCAATTAATTCAACTTACATGTTTTTATTGACTTTGCATATAGCATAGAGGTTTCATACCAAGATGGGCAGGTGAATAGTAAGTATGAATGAAAAAAGGTAACAGTTACAGCAATAAGTGAAGTTGTCCTGTCAAATATATATATATATATATATATATATATATATATATATATATATATATATATATATATATATATATATATATACATATATATATATATATATATATATATATATATATATATATATACATATACATATATATGTGTATATATATATATATATATATATATATATATATATATATATATATATATATATATATATATATACATATACATATATATGTGTATATATATATATATATATATATATATATATATATATATATATATATATATATATATATATATATATATACATATACATATATATGTGTATATATATATATATATATAGATATATACTATTTGGATCAACATAACAGTTTGTCAGCAGTAAAGAAATGCCGCTAGAATAAACATTATACGAAATAAAGAAGTTAATAAAAAGACAAGTTGAAAAAGCTTCAACTAAGCTGTTTCAGTTCAACTTTATCAAGACTATCAGAGCCTAGCCTGAAAAAAAAAATAATAAGAAGAAAAAAGATAAGAGAAAAAAAAAAAAGGACTGACCTTTTCTGAGTTCTGGTACCAAAATCTCCTCCTGATCCCAGTACTGGTGCCGGATAATACATGTCAGGTTCTCTCTATCCACGTTCTCAGGGAGCTCCAGCTGACTTTCCACTGTTACAAATCCATCTGGGTCTTGTTTCTTTGTCACTGAATCATTTCCTGCAGGACTCCAGCTGATGTTGGCAGCAGGATTCCCGCTCTCAGCTCTGCAAACGGCCACCATCTTGTTACCCCTATACTCTAACCAGGCAGACACACGAGGAGGAGCTGTACCGGAAAAGCAAAGAATGGACAAATATGGTATCTCCACAATATATAAAAAGGTTAAACACATCACTGAAAATACAAATGTATATATTTTTCAATATTTCAGGAGATAAAGAAGTAAATGAATGAATTAATAAAATATCCAGGGTGATAGTACCACTGTGTGTATAAACATATTCAGCTTATTTAAGGCCTTTACTTTCTATAACATTAAACTGTACTGTGCCCCAATTAAATACCAACCATGAAACACTTTAGGGGAAAATACAGGGAGGTAGACACTAAACTTTCAGACATTTTACTTAAATTATCTCTTTTTATGATAATTTTAGTGTTAAAAATTTCCTAGATTCAAAACACGCTTTTAAATATTGATATAGAGTTCCTACCTGTGACAGCCACTTTAATATTATAATATTCATTTCCTCCATGGTACACTGATTCGCACATGTAAACCCCAACATCATTGGCTGAAAAGTTTGGGATATTCAAGTATGATTGACCAATTGAATTGTTTTTGAGAGACTTTCCATCAGTGCAGTTATCAACACTTTGGCCATCATTACTGAATGAAATCGTGCAGGCTTTGCGTTTCACTTTAATGTTCCAGATAACATATAGTATCTCGTTCCATGTCTTATTGCTGCAGGTTAGAATCACGTTACTCCCATGATTGTAGACTTCCTTCCTGTCAACTATTTAAAAAAGAGACAAATATGCAAATTAATTTAGATTATGGTGGTAGTCTGATTTGTTGATCATTGCAGAACGGGATCATGGGTACAATTATGTGAATATGCAAGATTTAAACCGCAGGAAATAAATAGGGAAATGAAGTAGAGAAGTAAAAAGAATTTGATAAAAACATATAAAGGTTTTGGTTTAAGTTAGTTTTCAAAAGGCGGTCTTAACATGTTTAACAGGATTTAGATGAGCAGAGAAAATTATAAAGAAATCAATTTACCATAATACTTCACAACTGGAGTAGTTGTATTTGAGATCATAGTGGTGTTAGTTCCTGAGAGAAATGAAGGTGGATGTTAGGATGAGTTAGGTAAAACAGAGGGGTTTTTTAAAGGTTACTATTAGTTGTTCATTCTGATTTCAGTATATGCACAGAAAAAGGGGGTAAGTTATTAGATAACAGTGTCAACTTGCAAAAATAAAGTAGCAGATGTGAATGGTGTTAGAAAAGCTGTTCAGTGTAAGTATGGCTAAAATAAGTGTTTTAGAGAACCTCCATATTCCTTAGCTTTCCTTAAAGTAACCAGAAGACATCATTATTATCAAAACCTTTTGTGGTTAAAGCTGTTGTCTGCATTTTAGAAAAAAAAAATCATAGCTATTGCTTAAAACTTAATCAAAGAAAAAGTAAAAGAAAAGTCTAGGAGTTAAAAAAAAATATCTGCTGTCTAGTCAAACATACTGATGTTTGTTTACGTCTGACAGCAAAACAGAGACTATGCGGTGGGTTAGTAAAACCGCAACGTGGAGACCCCTGAGGTGGATAGAAAAAGATTGATCACACTGATATCAGAGGTTTCCACTGAAGAAGCCAGTGGCAGCATGCCCCTTGCTCATACAGAGAATATGGGTAAACTTTTTCCTCTGTTATGGAATAATTTTTCCCCCTGTCTCAGCTTTTAGTTTATTTCCATTGACTGTTCACAATGTGACTCATTATCATTTACAAACAACAAAAATCTCTGCAGTGTTCTCCAAAACAAGATTAGTTAGTCAATAGACAGGGAAACGGTCTTCCAGCAACACATGCTACTGCTCTCAAGAGTTCAAAAGACAGTTAAAAACAAGCATCGTGTAGATTAGATTAAAACAAAGTTTCCATTAAAACATCTAACATGCTCAGAAAGATAATCATGACCGAATAATTATGTGAATCAAACCTCCAGACAGGCTCCAAGATTCAGTCAAAAAGAAGAAGAAGAAATAAATCCACATCATGTCTCAAGTTCTTCAAAGCATCGCATCAAGCCAAGATCCTGTGCTTGCTCTGTTCGTGATCTGTCACTTCACTTTGAGTTAGACTAAAGCTGCTCCTCCGCCTCATCTACCCAAGACAAGAATCATTCCTACACCTCAAGACATGAGGCATATAAATAAGATTTGTGACTAAACTAATCCCTCCCTTCTTCTTTCTCTTCCCCCTCTCCAATACTGCTTTCCACTCAAACATCTGCCCTTTTTTTTTTCTCCCACACAGGATGACGTCTGAACAGTTAAGACATCAGTTTCCTTTCTTGTTTGTCACATGATCATCTTTTTTCAAAGGAGCGTGTTAAATATATGGAGGCAGGCGCGTAAAATGATCTCAAATAATGATCTCGTTTTATTTTTAATTGCGATACAAAAACCTTTTCAGGCTTTTAACAAATCTATAAATCTTTTTTTCTTAAGTCTAGTCTATAAACGTTCCAGTTAATTGATAAGTTACACTTTACTTTTGATGACATTAGGATAAATTTGAATGTCAAAGATTATGTGGAGGATTTTTTGGGATTTGGATAACAATCTGATGTGAGTGTAAGTCAACTGATTTGATGGGTAAACAAAGTTGCCTTTGATAACGTGGTTAATTGATTAAAAGTCTAACTAATACAATAAACTGTTTGTTTGCCAGGCCCTCAAAATTAAAGCCAATGCTTTCAAAATAGAATTAACCAGTTGGTCAGGAATTCTGGATGAAATTGAAGAAGATCAAGATAGTATTAATTTTCTCTAGATTATAATTTTCAAACATTGTGTTGACAGTCTCTTTATTATAGCTTTTTCAGCCTCAAATCAGTCAAAATAAATGATTAATTCGTATTTAAAATACACTGGTAAATTCAGTGCTCTATTTTTATTCAAGAAGAAATATTTTTTCCTTACAAAAAACATTCCACTTTTGTCTTAAGCCTTACCTTTTTTTCTCTAATCTTGCAGTTTAGTTGATAGGAATAATAGATCTGAATCAGTCATGACTCCTTGTTATATTTTGAATAAATAGGAGGAATATCTTTCAGAATTTGGTAGATCGGAGCTGATGCTGCGCTTCCAACATGTGGTTGACTAAATGTTGCATTTATGGTTTTTACATTTACAGATGATTAATAGAAAGTCCTGACCTTATTCCAAGAACAAGTTTGTGGAAAGACATAAGGGAGGAAGCTCATAAACAACCCAAATCTTATTAACATGGGGGAAGGGCTAAAAGCTTCCCCATCCATAAACATTCTCGATTGGACAGTTTTTCTAAATAAAAAAAAGCCACCTGCAACATTTTGTTTAGTATTAATCATATCATGTTAATCTTTGAAACTAACATGGATTAATACAAATCTACATTTTTACAGTGGAAGGTATGTTGTTGAATAGAGTTGAATAAAAATAAGGTTATCATCTATAAACTATGTAAAACTGCCCACTAGCCAGTTTTTTATATTCAGCATTTCATAACCTTTTGGTAAAAAATTAGATAAAACAATAAAACAACTAAAGAAACCCAAACCCATATTATCTTAGTAATCAGAAAGCATTTTAGTGAAGAAATCCCTTTTTGCTGAGTAGGCGCAATGCAGAGCTAGTTGTGGTCTCATATCTGCTGGTGTCAGAACATTCTACCGTTTAGGTAAACAGTCACACTTAGTGCAAGCATGCAGTGTTAATGTGGGTGCAGGCATTAAACTGGATCTTTGCACATCACAGATTAATAGCTGAGGAAAATTAGTGTACTAGTCATTAAGCATGTGTGCGGTTAGCTCATGCAAGCTGTATGTGGGCTTTGTGGTTCATAAGTGCATCTTGCAAGGCAAACTCGGGGTATTAGCTGTTCCATTTAAGAGAGAAATGGTAGATTAATTCATATTTTTTTCCTCACAGTTTTAACTATTTCAACTATTTAACTACTTAATAAAAATTGAAAGCTAGCATGAAAAGCAGATGCTATTTTTGCAGCCCTTCTGGAAGCAGCTTGTGACTAAACAAAGATATTGATGTGAATCTACATTAATAACAGAGCTTTTGTTTTACAGTTTTCAAAGTAACCCACCTGTTTTCATTATCACCTATGTTTTAAAGTGACTTCTGTGATCATCTTGGTTGTAAGGAACCACAAGGAGTGGCTCTATAAAGAAGGCCTAAAAATAGATATTGTTTATTTTACTTGTGAGCGGCAGAAGTTCAGCTGACTGTGAGCTGGCATGTTTAACAAAAAGGAACTAGCTCTTTCACAGAATTGCAAAAGTAACCAAGTCATATCCTTTCAGTCAGCTGTGTTATTAAAACATTTAAACCTAAAAGGAGAAGAAAACCAACAAAATACTTATATATAAAGGTAACATCAAATAATTCTCTAAAATGTCAATGTACACCCAAAATTGTGTGCTTGTTTGCACCATTTCCCTTTGATAAGAGCAGCTTCCTGTTGAAGCAGCAATCAGCCGTTTTTAGATACCCAAGCTAACTGCCTGCTCTGAAGGGTGAAGATATCAAATAGCTGCACAGAGTGAAACAGCGTGTACAGCTTTTTTACACTGTTTCCGTTTGCCAGTAGACTAAAGGTTTAGTTGCAACTACCACAGCTATTGCCATTGGTTGAATGTCATAATGAGAGACACATTTGAAATATGTTTTTATAGCTTTTAAAATTTAGAAGTTCACAAAATGTGAACATAAATGACTGGGTCTAACCGTTTTTGTGTCCTTCCCAAGCTTCTGAGAGCAGTTTGTCATTTTAGACTATTCCTATGGTGTAACTGAATCAAGTTTGTGGGCAGCCTTATTTACATATGCCTTTTCCACTCTAGGTTCATTATTTTTAGTCATGAATCAGATTTTTTATAGTAATACAAAAACATTTCGAACATTTTTGAACCCGCACTTTTTTTTTATAACATGAAAGGTTTGGTTTAATTTTATTTAAAGCATTAAATGACTTTCTGTTTGTAGTCTATGCAAGCATATGGTTTGAACGGCATGTGATTCCGCGGAAACAGAGAACTAAGTGACTCAGGCGGTTTAGAAAAGATTTGTTTATGGAATTTATCAGAGTGAAGTGTAAATTTCTTATAACACCATTATAACAACAGATGGCAACTGTGGTCTTCGATCCTCTATTTATTCTGTTTAGATATGATGCATTTTTCACTCATTACTTGATTCATTCAGGATACTTATTTACTTATTTATTCTTATTTTATATTTTTGCTGATAGAATGAAATTTATAAATAAGAAATATGCGACTGTTGATGAACCAACATTTGGACATAAACATGCCTGCAAGCTGAATTTTCACGATCTTTGTGTGTTCAAAAATCCATCTTTTTCCTACTTAAATTGTGCAAAACAGCACTGCATAATGTTTAGCCAATAGGGGCACTAGAATTGCAACTTCCAGATTTAGCGCCCCTGAAAAAAATAAGCCTATAGGCCTACTTCTCTCTGAAACAGTCTGTACTACCACTGATCTCTATTTATTCACTGGATTGCTGATAGCCCGAAAAAAGTGAAGCCACCAGTCGCCATATTGGTACTCACCACTGCCACGGAGACGCGCCATAAAAATGCCGATGTGTGTAGCATTTGGCTGCAAAAACAAGCAGTTTGCCGGCTGCGGGAAGACGTTTCACAGGTAATTTTTTGGTCATAGCTAAGGCTCAACATCTTGCTAATATTTACTTCCTAATACTTATTTCCTCAGTCGTTAGCCTGCGATGTTTTGTATGGTCCTATACGTTGTCTTCTTACCTACATGACAAAAGTGTCAGCATCTTTTTATGACGCGATTTGAGCCAGATACAATGGCTGAAATCACACTTTTATTCCCTTCCTGTCAGCCAGTGACGCACCAAGTAGGGCGATATTACACCTCATAGAGTTCTGTAGTTATTGGTTGAGACCATATGGACTGTTGGGCTTTGTAGCCAATGAAATAAGGTTTCAAACAAGCCTACACATGTCAAGGTAATAAAAGGCAGACCCTGTTTTAGCGGCATGCATAAGCGTGGAACATACAGCTGTGGCTGGATCTGTCATGGTTGGTTTAGGAATCAAACCCACATGCAGAACACCACTTGGAGACTGATAAAAAGTTCAACAGAGTGTATCAAAGGTTGCACAAAGATAACATGAACTGGATTCAGGTAAACTGGTCCGGGCGGGATTCTCAGGCGTCTGCAGAGACGGATAGTTTGATTAGCCAGGTTAACAGATGAATCGTTGCTTTTCAGATGTTTCTGAGAATACCTTGAAGAGGTCCAGGCTTTCCTTTCTGAGAGGGGGAACCGGTTGGGTCCAGAGACTGTTGGTTCAGCAGAGTGCTCAGCAGCAGCAGCGTCTAGCTTCTGACTTTCCAGTGACAGACCTTGGTTGGAGTGATTAGCTCTTTCCCTAAGAGCAGCAGTGGGATTCCAGAGTGAGATCTTCAGGTTTGGCTCTCTAGGGCAGGCAGGCAGGTAACAGGCTAAGCTCATCCAGAGCTTCAGACAAGAGACAAGTTTCCTGTGAGCGAGAAGACAGAGACTGGTTAGAATAGGGTTTCTCCTTAGAGACAAAGATTCTAGTAGTTACAGAGGCTCAGGTTCGCTAACCAAACTTGGTCAACACTGCGGCGTTGAAGGAAGGTCTGGCTGCTGATTATATAGGCAGGTCTCCTGATGGGCTGATGAACATCAGCTGTGCTGGAGGGCTCCAGCCCAGGAGATCCACAGCGCACTCTGCTGGAGAAGGTGGAGAATATCCAGATCCCAACAGTACCCCCCTCTCAACGACCGCCTCTTGGCGGTCCCGAGGATGCGGACGGGAGGGACTTCTCGTAATCCTCGATCAAGGACGGATCAAGGATAAACGAGCCAGGAACCCAGGTGCGGTCCTCCGGACCGTAGCCCTCCCAGTCGACGAGGTACTGCCAACCGCGATCTCGCCGACGGGAGTCCACGATCCGGCGAACTGTGTAAGCCGGATGACCATCAATGTCCAGGGCGGGTGGAGGGGAGTCGGAAGGCAGGCACAAAGAACTCGTGATGACAGGCTTTATCTGAGAGACATGGAATGTAGGATGGATGCGCAGAGAAGGTGGCAGGTGCAGGCGGACAGCAGAGGGATTAATTATCTGGTCGATCTTGTATGGACCGATGAACCTGGGTGAAAGTTTCTTTGACATGGCCTCAAGGGGAATGTCTCGTGTCGACAGCCAAACTTCTTGGCCTGGAGTGTAGTCAGGGGCGGGACGTCTCTTGGAGTCGGCAAACCTCTTGGTTGAGACAGATAAGCGGGTGAGGGTGGTGATAGTATCTTTCAAGATACGTTGGCAACGGCGGATGTGATGATGGACTGACCTGACCACGATCTCTCTCGTCTGCGGGGAAGAGTGGAGGCTGATAACCTATGGATACTTGAAAGGGGGATAAATCAGTAGAAGCAGATCTCAGGGAATTATGCGCGTACTCAATCCAAGTCAGGAACTGACTCCAGTCAGTAGGATTGTTGGAAGTAAGGCAGCGGAGAGTAGACTCAAGTTGCTGGTTCAACCTCTCCGTCTGCCCATTAGACTGAGGATGATAACCAGATGTGAGAGAGGATTTGCAATTTAATGCTGAGCAGAAGGCTTTCCAGACCTGTGAGATGAACTGGGGACCACAATCTGAGAGGATATCTTGAGGAATACCATGGAGGCGGAAAACATGCTTCACGAGGAGTTGAGCCGTCTGGAATGCAGTGGGGAGCTTTCTGAGGGGAATAAGATGATAGGCCTTGGAAAATCGATTGACGATGGTTAAGATTGTAGTCATACCTCTAGAAATCGGGAGACCGGTGACAAAATCAACAGCGATATGAGACCAGGGACGGGTTGGAACAGGTAGAGGATGCAGCAGGCCAGAAGGTGATTGGTGAGAGGTCTTGTTTCGGGCGCAGATGGGACAAGCCAGAACGTACTCTTTAACGTCTTTATGCAGAGACGGCCACCAAAATCGTCTGTTTATGAGGGCGATGGTTCTGCTCACTCCAGGATGGGCCGAGAATTTCGCTGCGTGCATCCACTGGATGAGGCGGGATCTGACGGAAGACGGGACATACATTTTATTAGGAGGACCATTACCTGGGCCAGGTTCAGAGGCCAGGGCAGAGTTGATCAGATCAGTGATCTCCCAGGAAACGGCTCCAACTGTACATGAGGCTGGGAGAACAGGTTCGGGTGTCTCAGGTTGATCGGTGGAACACAGACAAGAGAGAGAGTCAGGCTTGACGTTCTTGGAACCAGGTCTGTAGGAAATGATGAGATTGAAACGTGAGAAGAACAAGGACCACCTTGAATGCCGTGGGTTGAATCTCTTTGCCGATTGGATATAAGCCAGGTTCTTGTGGTCAGTCCAAACCAGTACTGGATGCTCAGCCCCCTCGAGCCAGTGTCTCCATTCCTCCAGGGCGAGCTTAATGGCCAGAAGTTCTCGGTCTCCAACATCATAATTTTGCTCGGCTGGAGAGAGTCTACGTGAAAAGAATGCACATGAGTGAGTTTTCTGGTCAGAATCTGACTGCTGAGATAACACAGCTCCTACGCCGGAATCAGATGCATCAACCTCAAGGATGAACTGTTTCGTAGGATCAGGCTGGACCAAGATGGGGGCACTGGAAAAGAGTATTTTTAATTTATTAAAGGCCTCTTTGGCTTCTGGGGTCCATTGAAAAGTTTTCTTGACAGAAGTAAGAGCTGTGAGGGGTAGAGCTGTCTGGCTATAGTTCCTTATGAACCTCCTGTAAAAGTTTGCAAACCCAAGAAATCTCTGAAGTTGCTTGTGGTTTTCAGGTGTAGGCCACTCCAGAACTGCCTTTATCTTGTCTTCTGATGGTTTCACCTGCCCACCCTCGAGCACAAACCCTAGAAAAGTGACAGATTGTTGATGAAATTCACATTTTTCAGCTTTCACAAAAAGTTTATTTTCTAGTAGCCTCTGAAGGACTAAACAAACATGTTTCCTGTGGTCTGAGAGGTTCTTGGAGTAGATCAAAATATCATCGATGTAGACAAAAACAAAAACATTCAAAAAATCTCTGAGGACGTCATTGACAAGAGCGTGGAAACAGGCAGGAGCGTTCGTGAGGCCAAAAGGCATGACCAAGTACTCAAATTGCCCTAAGGGGGTCTTAAAGGCTGTTTTCCATTCATCCCCTTCTCTTGTTCCAAGGAGGTGGTAGGCGTTTCTTAGATCGAGCTTGGTAAACACTGTAGCACCTTGTACAGGTTCAAAAGCTGATGCCAGTAATGGTAGGGGATATTTATTTTTGACGGTAATCTGATTCAAACCCCTGTAGTCATTACAGGGGCGCAGGGAACCATCCTTTTTACCCACAAAGAAAAAACCAGCACCGAGAGGAGATGAAGATGGGTGAATTATTCCAGCAGCTAGAGATTCATTGATGTATTTTTCCATGGTTTCACGCTCAGGTTTGGAAATGTTATACAGTTTACTGCTGGGAAGAGGGGCTCCTGGTAGTAAATCTATGGCGCAGTCATATGGTCTGTGAGGTGGAAGAGACGTCGCACTGATCTTACTGAAGACTGGTGCCAGATCATGATACTTGGGAGGAAGTAAGGTCAGGAGAGTCCATCTCCCCCCTACCTCTAGGGGACTGAATAGTAGGAGCCGCAGAACGAAGACAGGATTTGTGACAGGAGGTGGACCAGGATTCAATGTGGCGTTCAGCCCAGTTGATATGGGGGTTATGATGTTCCAACCACTCGAATCCAAGCACCAGTGGAGAGCATGCTGAAGGAAAAACAAAAAATGTTAGTGTCTCCCGGTGGTTTCCAGAGATAAGCAGTTCTAGGGGTTGTGTCTAGGGTTGGGAATTGAAAAGATTTTCACGATTCCAATTCCCTTTTCGATTCTATGAAACGATTCGATTCTTTATCGATTCTTTTTTCGATTCCAATTTGGGGGAAAAAGGAGAACAAACAGTTTGATTATCAGAATCAACTTTGTTTACTTAACTATTGCACAATCTTACAAACTCAACAAGATCAAGATGTCCACAGGAAATGTGAAACTGGAGTAACATCTGTGTTTAAATGAAAAATAAATATACAAGAACAAACTTAATAACCAACAATGTCTAATAACAAATGATGGGATAATAACCTATTTTAAATAACAAAAAATACTAATTATAAAACAGTAGTAGGGAAAATTAACAGTTATTTTGCAGAAAGATGAGCATATCTGCTTTTTCTGGAAGGATACAGGATCTTTCAGGGCTTATGGTGTCTCCAGCCGTGGAGAACACCCTCTCAGATGGGGTGGAGGAAGCCTGCACACAGAGGTAGTTTTCAGCCAGTCAGATAGCAAGGGCAGCACATCTTGCTTGTTCCACCACCACAGTGTGGCGCTATCCCTGCAGGGGATGGAGGGCAAGCTTTTATAGAGCTGGATTTCCTGATCTACCCTCTGGGCTAAGGAAAGACGGGGCTTTGATTCACAAAGTGACCGCAGCTCGTTGTCTTCCTCCTCGAATAGTTCTTCCAACTTGCGTAACTTGCGTAACTTGCGTAACTTACGTAACTTACGTAAAAAACGTGACGTAAGTCGTGCTCCCCAGAGCCGGCGCTCTAGGCTCTGGTGCTGCGGGAATCGAAAAAAGAATCGTTCAGTGAGCTGCCAAACGATGCCATGGAATCGGAAAATACGGAACCGGTTCTTAACAGGAACCGGTTTTCGATTCCCATCCCTAGTTGTGTCTGATGAGTGACTTGATGAAGCTTCTTTCCATCGATAGCAGATACTCTGAGAGGCTTAGTTAAAGGAACAGTCTCAATTTTTAACTGCTGGACCAGATCTGAATCAATCAGGTTTCTTTCACAGCCAGAGTCGATGAATGCGGATAAAGTGAGATTCTGGTTAGAAAAGAACAGAGTTGCAGGCAACAACAAATGAGGAGTTTTCTCAGATTTTAGGTGGCCCGTCAGACTCCTCACATCCTCTGACGGGCCCTGGCTTTTGATTTAGCCGGGCATGAAGCAATAAAATGGCCAGTCTCACCACAATACAGACACAGTTTAGCCTTAAATCTCCGTTGCCTCTCTTCAGGGAATAGCCTAGTGTGTCCAACTTGCATTGGTTCGACCTCCGTTCCTTCTGAAGAAGAAAAATGAGAGATTTGGACAGGCGCTGGGAGAGTCTGATTCTTAGACCTTGGCTTGGTACTGGGTTCTGCGGAACCAGAAAAAACAGAAGCATTATTAAATGCAGGATATGAAACAGAAAAATTCAGGTTTCTTTGCCTTGAGTGATTTCTAGTCCGAAGTCAATTATCCAACCTGATGGTCAAATGGATTAAATCCTCCAAACTAGCAGGTTCGTCTATTGTGGCGAGTTCATCTTTAATGTTGTCATTCAAAGCCTTAAAGTAAGCACTCTTAAGTGCACACTCGTTCCATCCTGAGGCTGCGGCTTTAACCCGGAAGTCAATGGAGAACTCAGCTACTGTGGAATCTCCCAGTTTTAAATTTAGCAGGGCTCGGGAATCAATAGTTTTATCTGAGTCATGGTTGAAAACTTGAGAAAACTCAGATATGAATTCAGAAAAAGTACATGAAAAGCTGGACTCAGAAGAGAACCTTGCCTCCGCCCATTCAAGGGCTCGTCCAGTAAGTTGAGAGAGAATGAAGGAAATCGTTTTCCTATCATTTGGAAAACTGCCAGGGGAGTGCTCAAAAAGCAAACGACACTGAAACAAAAATCCTTTACACTCCTTTTGATTACCTGAAAATCTTTCAGGAGGACTCGGACGGAACTCAGGAAATGACGTCACGGACGGTGACCTTAGTGGCGGAAGTGGTTCCGGAACAGGACGGACTGCAGGCGTAGCATTAGCATTTCCCATGTAGCCAGCATAGTTCTGCAAGTCTTGGTTCTGATATTCAAGTTTATTGTGTAACTCACGGAGGGTGTGCACTTGTCCAAGGATTTGGGCATCCTGCTCCTCAAGCCTCCTCCGGAGGTGATCTGCTGGGCTTTGTGTTTGGCCGCAGTGTTCTGTCATGGTTGGTTTAGGAATCAAACCCACATGCAGAACACCACTTGGAGACTGATAAAAAGTTCAACAGAGTTTATTAAAGGTTGCACAAAGATAACATGAACTGGATTCAGGTAAACTGGTCCGGGCGGGATTCTCAGGCGTCTGCAGAGACGGATAGTTTGATTAGCCAGGTTAACAGATGAATCGTTGCTTTTCAGATGTTTCTGAGAATACCTTGAAGAGGTCCAGGCTTTCCTTTCTGAGAGGGGGAATCGGTTGGGTCCAGAGACTGTTGGTTCAGCAGAGTGCTCAGCAGCAGCAGCGTCTAGCTTCTGACTTTCGGGTGACAGTCCTTGGTTGGAGTGATTAGCTCTTTCCCTAAGAGCAGCAGGTGGATTCCAGAGTGAGATCTTCAGGTTTGGCTCTCTAGGGCAGGCAGGCGGGTAACAGGCTAAGCTCATCCAGAGCTTCAGACAAGAGACAAGTTTCCTGTGAGCGAGAAGACAGAGACTGGTTAGAATAGGGTTTCTCCTTAGAGACAAAGATTCTAGTAGTTACAGAGGCTCAGGTTCGCTAACCAAACTTGGTCAACACTGCGGCGTTGAAGGAAGGTCTGGCTGCTGATTATATAGGCAGGTCTCCTGATGGGCTGATGAACGTCAGCTGTGCTGGAGGGATCCAGCCCAGGAGATCCACAGCGCACTCTGCTGGAGAAGGTGGAGAATCTCCAGATCCCAACAGGATCAATGCATGCAGCTCCAAGCTGAGTGATAACAGGCCTTTTTTTTTTGGACACTGATTTTGTTTTATTACGCCTAAGTAAAATAAAAATGAAAATAAAAAAAAATAAAACTGGGGCTTATATTAGCTTGAAAAGCAGCAGTTTCAATATCTTAAGCCCCACAGCTCTTGTCGCTAGAGATCTGAAATTTTCTGCATTTGTGGTTGACATGCTGTAGAACAAATGTAATACAATGGCCTGCCTTTTCTCAAGCATATCTTTATTACTGCTATTCCAAAAAGACCTATCATTTTTTAGAATAAAAAACAACAACTTTGAGCCATGCTTGAACTGATGCAGCTTGGTCTATGTCCATTAAAGAAATGTATTCAAATCACAAGACTATATTAAAATCCACACATTATTCTGGTTTAATCAGTGCAAACGAGGGAAACTCTAAAACATCTTCCTACTTCTCCCTACTGACAAAATGTAAAAAAACCTAAGGATTCACTTCCTCTCGGTTACATTTCTTCTTTCAAAAATTGAACAAATCCATCTACAGCTGTTATTGACTTCTTCCTGATCTTCCTCTGCCCCTATTCCACTTACACCTACTCAGTTATTCTCAGCGTTCATCCTCCATTCATTCAATGAAATCCTAAAAAAATATTCAACCTGCCAACTGGACCTGCTTCCCACCATTCTTGCAAAATCTGTTCACCCCTCACTGTCTCCAATTATGACAGACTTCATTCATTCTTCTCTTATAACTTGCATTGTTCCTTCCAGACAGCAGCTGTAACTCCAATACTAAAGAAACCTGGTTTAGATCCCACCAACCTCGATAACTTTTGACCAATTTCTAATCTCCCATCCACCTCCAAAATGATTGAAAAAGCAGTAGCTGCTCAACTCCAAATTCATCTTTACGGCAATAATCTCTATGAAAAATTTCAACCTAGTACCCCTGGAGGTTCTGTCCTAGAGCCCGTCTTGTTTATCATCTACATCCTCTAAGGCCATTGCCTTATTTCCTGAAAGTATCATATTAATTTCAATTGCTATGCTGATGACACCCAGCTCAATCTCTCAGCAAAACCCAACTCCATACTCTCACCTTCCTCCCTTACTGACTGTCTCCTTAATACAAAATCCTGGTTTACTTCAAATTTTCTCAAATTAAATTCTGATAAAATCTACAAAATCTACAATAGACAAATCACATAACTTTCCCCTGACCACTGATAATGTTTCCATTTTTCCCTCACTGTATAGTAGGTTAAGAGTTCGGTTGTCATCCTCAACAGCACCCTTTCCTTTTCCTCTGCAGTCTCTCCACTGATGTCCTTGTCCATAGCTTGGTCACTTCCTGCATATTACTGCAATTCCCTCCCTTTTGGTATTACACATAAAATGATGCAAGAACAACAACAGTTCTGGTGTAGCATGACTTAAATGTGTTTTATTAAAAAAGACTTGGAAAAAAAAACATTGTCCCTTATTTCCTTTATACATTTACATGCCAGTAATAGTTTAATTATATTGCTTAGGAGTGTTTAGGATTCATGGCTTGACTTCGGATTTTCATGCAAAAAACGGGATGCTTTCTTATGTTTTCCTTAAAAATACTAACAAAATTACTAAGAAGTTACTTTTGCTTCATTAAGTCATTACTAAACAGTGCAAGAAGCAAGAGTTACTGAGTAGCACAACTTAGACATTTTATTGCAAAATATTGATTAGCTCTAATTTTTGTTTTCTGAATTAAATAGATTTTCAGAAACTCGTTAAATGTTAACTTAAGTCGTCTAATTTTAAAAATATCCAAAACATATATAAATCATTTTAAAGATTAATTGTGATTAATTTATCACCTCCCCATGATTAACTAGATTTAAACCACATCCTGAAAAACTAAGAACAAAATACACAGTAAATGTCAACTGCACCACTTTACAATAAAATGAAAGTTTATTCCAGTCATACAGAAACAAGCTTTACCAAATTTTCCTTACTGGTTCTTGCTACTGAACGATGCAGTCAAGTTCAGTTTATCATTCAAATTGGTTAAAAGTTTTCTGTCCAAGCAGAATGCATCAAGCCACACTAAGGGACTTTCAGCATTCTTTCGTCCTTGAGGAAATTTTAGACCTTTGCTTCTATTGGGTTGTTTTTCAGCCTGTCCAAATGTCTGATGCTGTGATCAGGACACTTGGCAGTTTTCGTTGGATTATTTTCTCCAAAGTGTTGAGTGTGAAGAGGCTCCCCTAGTGCAGTTTCAGTACACATCACCCAGCAGCTACTGATTATTCAGCAGAAAAGACAGAGGAAGAGCTCTAAGAAATGTTTAAACATTAAAAACAGACCACATCCATGATAAGATCAAGAGATCTGATCCAGAGGTTTTCTGTGCTTCTGATCATGTCAGATTCAGTGGGTCATTACAACAATTTAGATTTAATACATTATAATTAGTGATGATAAAAAAATAAAATGGGTGGATTGTATTTTTCTTCTTTTAAATTTTTTCCAATTTAAAGAAGATGATTAAATGTGGTTACTACGGCATGTTTAGTGATATAAATCACAGCCTCATCATGTTAAACTTGTATACTTTTTCAAACTCGCGTTTGAGATTGCTGTGACATGCAGTCATAGCAATGCTCTTTTCTAAGAACGAATTCAAAGAATTATTGAAGATTTTTTTTTTTTACTGTCAAGACAAAACTATGAAATATTGTGATAAGATTTTAAGGCCACATCACCCAGCTCTACTCTTGATGGAATGCAAGACTTTTACCCTTTCATTTGTGCATTTCTGAAGAATAACTTACTTAAGATAAGGTGACTATTGTGATTTAGTACTTTTTAGTACAATGCATGTCAGAATAATAATTGTTAGGAGAGCAGTAGGCCTGTGTGTATTTAGCATTATTATTTGTATTATTATTATTATTATTCCTTTTTTGCATTAATTACTGCATCAGAGCAGTGCAGCCTCTAGATAAGGATCTTGTGCTTCTACTGAGGCGTTATTGAAGATCAGCTTGCTCTGATTGTGGCCCTTTTCTCGTCTGCATTGTTTGCTATTTATATTATCTTTCTATTGACAAACTAATAGTAAGGACTCAGGTGAGTTTGCTGGCCAGTCGTACCGTGGTACCACTGTCATCAAACCCTGTATTTTTTGGGGGGGAGCAATGAGAGGAGGGGTTAGGTGAGTAGACCACAGAAGACCAACCAAAACGAATGACACGGCCCTGAATCATTACTGAATGTGGAAACTTCACTCAGACAGCCTTGATTTTATGCCTCTCTACTCTTCCTCCAGACTCTTTGACCTTAATTTCCAAATTAAGCAAAAAAATTAGTTTCATCAGAAAAGAGAACTGCGGGACAATAAGCAACTTCCCATTTTTTCCTTAGTCTCAGCAAGAGAGTTCTGGTTCAGGGGTAGCTTAATAGAAGGAATATGACAGTTGTAACCCGTGTCCTGAAGACATCTTTGTGGCTCTTTAAGTCCATGTCTTGGATCCTCTGAAGGATTTGACCAATTATGCTGCTTAAATCTTTTCTTTAACATTGTTTCTTTTCACTTTTCCAAGTTTTATTTCGTAAACACTGGGCTTCTTTAGCATTTCCCTTTTGTGGTATACTCTCATTGCGGATAGTGTCCATGACCATCTGTTAGTCAGGTGTCAAGTCAGCAGCCTTCCTCATGATTATGTAATATTGCATTTCCATATTGGGCATACTTTTTATTGGTGCCTTGTAATATTGAGAACAGAACTGTAAGCTGTTATCATTAATATTAGAGGAATGCAACAATGAGGTGCTAGAGAGGAACCTGTTGTATTATGTTATTTGCTCTTGTTAAACCCTTAAACTTTAAGGGTTTTAGGAATAGAACACCCAAAACATGATTAGCCTTCATTTTCTACTCACCCCCATGCTGAACAACACCCTGGAGTACTTCTTTGATATCTCAAATGCATCTGGAGATCTGGGAGGCTTCTTGCTGTCTGCTGACATTCAAATAATGAAGGTCTATGGTGCCTGAGACAGAAAGGTCCATAAAAGTCCACAAAAAACATGTCAATATTCCTCCATACTGCTCGTCCAATGTATTCCAAGTGTCCTGAGTGGGTAGCATCCAGAATTTACTCGAAACGAAGTCATTTAGAATGTTTTTAGAGCATAAAAGTGTATTAGTGTATAGGATTTCCTGAAAGCGCGCACCTGCACGTTCACGACGCTACGGAAGCCGGCAGACCAAACCAGATGAAAGTGCGCATTCAGCGTCTTCTCTGCCAATAAAGCAAGCGTAGAAGAAGAAATGTGCTGTTTACCTGTGCAAAGAAAGAAACAACGAAAGAAAAATGTCTGAGGACTTCAGTGTTGAGGAAGAGCATGAGTTCTTTGCTGAGCTGAATGCGCACTTTCGTCTGGTTTGGTCTGCCGCGGTTTCCGTAGCGGCGTGAACGCGCTTTCAGGAAATCCTATACACTACTGTTTATGCTCTAAAAACATTCTAAATGACTTTGTTTCGAGTAAATTCTGGATGCTACCCACTCAGGACACTTGGAATACATTGGACAAGCAGTATGGAGGAATATTGACACGTTTTTTGTGGACTTTTA